CAGGAGGCAATCCAACGTTTTAATCTGCTTGTGACATTGTTCAAGTTGGCCCGTCGTATAACCCTGCTCCCAAGTATGTCTGAGTAGTGAATCGGAATATCCATCACTTGCTGGAATATTGGAAAATGGATTGTTTCTTGACATGGCAAAAATTTGAGAGGAAAGTTTGATGTGGTATTGGTGATTTCAAGTTGATTTCTTGTTGCTTGATGGAGTGATGAGGTGGTAAAGGAGTCCTGTACTGGTCTGTACTGTTTTGGAATTCTTGTGGAAATTATAGGGGACTAAATATTAAATGTCGCTCTTTGTGTACTGCAACATGAAATATCCTAGGGAACAAAATAGTTTGTGGCAGAACCTGGAAGTCTCTCCTAACAACTAAATAATTAAGAGACAAAAGAAATTGTAGGACAATTACATGATACATCGAAGAAAACCTGGGGTGTTGTAGTTCTAACTAGATTCTAAATACCTGAGCCACTGGCCATTGAATGACAGCTACTAAAAACAGGAGCTTAGAGAAAACCCTTCTGTTCTTGAACAACTTCTACTGTTTTCTGAATTCTCAGAGATTTGTATGGAAATGAGTCTTCACTAAGAAGAGTCGAAAAGTTCCTCAAGTCCATGATTCAGTTATGTAGTCAAGCAGTGCTGACTCTCTTCACCCAACTTCAGTGTTATATCTTTTCGAGACTCATGGAAGTTTTCATATTATTCAAGTATGCTTGGATAGCGATGACTTTCAAGGTTTTGTTACGCTAGATTATACTGGGCCAAGTCCGGATGTTTCGGACACAATTAGGTAATCAAGATCTGATGTATAGCAAAAACTTTGGAAATTATCTAACAGTCCTCACTCGGTGCATATGTATATTTCTCTTCAAAAAGAAGGAAAAGAATAGGGAAACTACAAGCTAATCAATTCAACTAACTTTCCACTACCTTATTTCCAATGAAAGACAGGACCTACTGTTCGGATGTATCTCATCTCTCTACTACTCCTCTCCTCCCCTTCTCCTCCGAGTACCATACCTCGAAAAACGGCATCACCGGAGATGAAAATGGTGAGAAAATGAGGCCACCTGGAATTGGGTCAGAAAATGTATGGTACACGTGTTCCATATAATTAGCTGGAATTTTGTGTCATTAGTTAGGTCCGCTTCCCACTACCATGACTTGTTAGGCCCAAGCTAGGTATACTTTCTAGGATTCGCTTAGTCAATCAGCTTAGGCGATATTGGCTTAAGCGATACGCCCTATTTAGCTCCCCCACAATCACCTACTTGCATCATAGAAGAATTACATCACAGAAGAATTATTGTCTATAATTAATATCTTGATCATCTATTTCTCCAAAAACCCATACATTCTCTTCTAGAGTCCAGACGAAACATATTTCTTTCCATCCTCCAAATCTTTCCTTCGTCGCCCAGGCTTTTTATCCAGAATAAATTGTTTATATTTATCGACCAGTGCTTGCATTCGTATTTCCAGTGTTTCGTATACGGGCCCGTATAATGATACATACTACATTTTGTAATAATATCTATGTATGTGGCATCAAATTCTTATAACATTAATACTCCTGAAAGGAGTAACAGATACGAAAATACGGGATTCAAATTGGAATGAGGTTGTCGCGATACTAGTGAATCGTACATGCGGCCTACCCGCCTGCGCAGCGGGCATATAAGCCCTACGTAGATCTACCTTTAATCGATATACAATTCATACCAATTTAACTTTTATTTTATAGTATTGATCAGTACTTACCACCGAGGTGATAACCAACAGGTATAGACTCCAAAAGTTATCTAGGCTTCGGGCTTCCTCGTGATCTCCTACAGCCATATCAGTAGGAAACCATGCCAGTCCTGAGAATATATTTCGGAATTTTAGGAGCATTACAATTTGAATTCTAGTATCTCCGCATATCCTTATTATTTTTAATATTTCTAAGAACTCTTAGCTAATCTCTACGAAATAGATATTACCTCCCTTTTGTTCGTACGACCGACCGTACTAGAGCCTCAATACGTGCCACTGTTATACTACCGTATAATAACACACAAATTGTTCTCGACTGTATCATATTACAAGCTTTTAATTACCTATATATACATTCATTATCATTTATTTTCAAGGACCATTTCCATTTCCAATATCCAAAACACATAAGATAATACGCATTCGAATATTCTCGATGTATCATTCCAAAATGCCTTGTAGGCGACAACGAACAAAGCTTCCGAGTCCACTATCCTCCTCCTTTTCCGACGAAGAAGTCGACATCGACCTCAAACTCCGGGGTCATCAAGTTCTTTCCCCCGAACTCCTCAAAAGTCTCAAGCAAGCTTGTTTGCAAATCGAAAAACGTATGATCGTGGAAGAAGAAGATAGAATGTGGAAGGCGGTCACGGAAAAAACTCCTGTTTATAAAGCGAAGAGGTGGAGAGGAACTAGTCCTGTGGATTGAGAGGACTTGGAGGTGAAGAAGTGAGGACTTGACTGGTTTTCTCTTCGCTTCTTTTCATCTTGTGGGATAATACAGTTAGCTTGATTATTTTAGTGGTGAACTCGCAGGATGATCAATAGTCCAGATTGAAATCACATGTGAAATCTTTCAATATTCAAAAGGCTGTGGAAATTTGAGAATGGTTTGGTTATTGCAACCAATGCACTGTTTCAAAAAAGTTCAATATTAGATTACATCAAAACACTAAAGGATTTCAAACTGTTTAAATGCATTCGTGAATTCAAGATCATAATGTACAAAGTAGATTGCATACCAAACTTATATCCAAGTACCTTATAACACTCTTCAATATCCCAATTCAGGCTTGGCAATCAGATGGACTCTCAGGCTTACAGATTTCATAACACTCTTCAAGGCCCCAACTCTGATATGACGATTAAACAGTCCCTTACGCAGCTCGGCTCACTTTGAAAAGAGTTTTCATCTTTAGATAAGAGGTTTATTTAGTAAAGTACGTACCGGTAGACTGCGCAAAAAATACCCGCCCCGTACGGGGCGGGTGCAAATAATCCGCAAATAACCCGCAAATACACAAATAACCCATCACTCCACAAATAGATAAATTATTTGCAGATTATTTGCAAATAACCCGCCAGCTCCAATACCCGCCCCGCGGGGCCCCGTTGCGCAGTCTACGTACAGGAATCTCTCATTTTCAGACTAACTTTGCGACTATCTAGAACAAATGTCTTGCGACAGTCGAGTCAGAATTTGCGGTGACGGTCATGCAAGGAAATATAAGTAAGTTGAAGATTTACTAGTTAGGCAAGGGAAAAGGAATTATGACTCTGTGAAGAGAATGAGATTCCGGTATCTGGTGGTGGTCACTAGTCAGTCGTCCACCCCCTCAACCCCGCAGAGTTTGACTCAATCTAGGCTAGCGGATTTCTATTCAAATTGCGCTTGCTCACTAGTTACTCTGAATTATCTATATCTGTGCACACTTTTTGATTTTCCTCGGTTTTCAATCATCACTTGAATCAATTATTTCTTCAAACTTTTATACACAATTTTCAAACCATCTCACCATATCTATTACCAAATATCTTTACTGTCGAGTTCCAATATACACACAATGATTTTCAATAGTAAAGATTTAAACATTCTCCAGACGGGTACTTGCACAGCTCCAGATGCCCGTTGTCGACCATGCCGGGAGCAGAAAATCATCCGAATCTTACAGCAGAATTGTGGTTTGCCTTCTGAGGTGTTATCTCAATTATCGGAATGCAATTGTCAACCATTTCGACTTGACAGTCCTGATGATTTCACAGACTGCATCATTGTGTCCATAGATCTTGAGGTAACAAAGTTTCAAGACGACATCAAAGAAGTCGGCATATGTACTCTAGATACCAGGGACATCAAGATTTCGAAGCACCAACCGACGATTGATGTGAATAAGGTCCTATCGAGCTACAGCTTCTCCCTCCATCGCCACAAGGGTGCGAGCACGAGATTTCGATATGGCGAAACCAAAAGAATGGCAAGACATAATGTTAAAAGTATGATTGAACGGATCTTTCGGACTGGAAGCCCTCTAGATCAGTCAATAGAGGCCCGTCAGGTGATTCTGATAGCAAATGGAATTTCTTCAGATCTTACCAATTTGAGGAAGTTTGGGTTGATGCCGGACCTAAGAAAGTTTCCGGATATTATCTTGATCGACACGGCCGAAGTCGGCAGACGACTTATCAAGGAAAAGATCAGAATGTGGCTTTGGTCCATACTGGAATTCTTCCAAATTCCATTTTCCCACAATTCTCTCCACCAAGGTGGCAATGATGCCAATTTAACTCTTAAAGCCCTTATCATGCTCTCGCTAGAAAGCTGCAAAGACTTGAGTTGGACTCCGGAGCAGGAGAAGATCAGAACATTGTTGTTGCTCGTTGTTCGTGAGGCGGCGCCATATTCCCAAGAGCAGATTGATGAATCGATGGAGAAAGAAACAAAAGCGTGTAGGAAAGAGTTTCGGGAAACAAGTTGGGATTGTTGGGCAGACAACGATGAGGAGGATGGTTTAGGATTCTCGTTCGAATCCGAGTAAATCATTTCAAGTTATTACCAATGTTTCGGATAATTCAATATAGATCAAGCAATTAGACTAGATAAGTTGGACACAATCAAATGAAAGTTAGAATAATCATGACTTTTTGGAAAATGGGAAGTGTTGAACCCTTTCACTCACTGGTGATTTAAGGTGATGTAAGTAACTGCAACCGACACCATCATTACTGTACGAATAAGGATATTTCTGGCGGTTTGCGATATTTCCAAAATATCTTGAAGCGCGTGTTCCTCGTCAAGTTATCATGTTTCGATATGGCAAGCGCCTCCTCGTTCCTTCCCCTTTCACTCAAACCCAAGACACACAAATAAGTTCCGATTGCCGTATACCGTGGCTTGGTAATTTCTCTATTATATAAATCAAAACGATGAGTATATCCATCAAATAGGACAAACAGGTACATTATGCAAGTGGTTAAGCACCCTCTTATTCCCGACGGAGGTGATTTTCCTCGGAGAATGCGCGGGTTCAAATCCCGCATGTATCGTCAATATCTTTTGGCATTTTTATTTCTTTCACATCAGACATAATCTCTGAAAGTTGCATTTTGCATTGAGAACAATCGTCCGTTTTGTGTGGGAGGATTTGGGTGAGGCATTTCGCGAACCCACAATACCCCTTTGCTCCTTCTTTCTTCGACTCATAGTCTGGAACACTTTCATAGTTTGAATGGCTGTAAATATTTGACTACAATTTAATATTCTGAATAGTTTGAGTGTTCCAAATGATTTGAGTATTCTAAATGATTTGAATGTTCCAAATGGTTTGAGTGTTCCAAATAATTTAAATGTTTCAATTGGATTCAAGAATCAAGAAGTCTTTCATTGTCCGACTGCAGTTTCGACCACCAGAAATCTTGTTGGTATACAACGAGATTATTGATGGTGCATCAATGAGGGGGCTAGTTTCCCAGTGTGTAATGCAGCGTTGGATGATGCGAAGAAGTATAGAAAAGAGGCTGCGCGGATTGGAAAGCATACCATGACGGAGATAAACCGTATAAAGTTTGGAGTGCATATGTTTTAAGAAGACAATGCACTTGGTCAGGTAACACTTGCATAACTCAAATGGGGAGTAATTTTGGACTAACATATTGGATAGAGCTGCTCAATTGAGATATGTGAAATTGCTTTATCGGAGTTGGGAGTTTTGTGGATTATCGTAAAAGATTATATTCTATATTTATCTTGCATCTCATTTCTCTGTATAAATTGTAGAGGTCGTCGAAAGTAAACCATAATTATGCCTCTTTTTGCAGGACTCCAATTTTTTGGATTTCTCATGCAGTGTTCTACTTAGTATACTACTGTACAACGGTGGCGCGTATTGAGGATCTCATACGGTATATCGTACGTATGAAGGAAGAATTATATCACTTGCGTAGGTATCATCTAATATGAATATTTATAAGGATATACAATTGCAAAGTATTTAATCGATAATATTGCAAGGGATTGATCGAAAAATGGGAATAGCTTCAAAAATGAGAATAGCTTCAAAAATGGAAATGGCTTCAAATGGGAATAGCTTCAAAAATCGATAGTGCGGCATATGCCGCACCAATTGGAATTTCGTATTTGCGTATCTTACCAGTGGTATTCAATATTATGATAATATGGAATATTTTGAGTGGTATGGAATTCATTATCACATATTTAGATACGTATCAAAAATGTAGAACTTATCACTATACGGGCCCGTATACGGAATACGGAAAATACTAAGTAGAACACTGTTCTTATGTGGTTTGGTCCTGATCATGGATCAATGGTTGGAACCGAAGTGCTCTTTTTGCCATGGCCTTTCTCCATATCTACAGGTATGCCACCGAATTTTCGTGGCTCGCAATTTGAGGTATGAATATCTACGAAAGATATCCGGACGGGCTCATCTTCTGTGGCAACATTGAATGTAACTCGCAAATTCCCTGGGTGATTCATGCCATCTGTCTTCAGCCTCTTTTTGGAGTCAGAGTTTCCATGAACCTCTTCGAATCCACGGGAAATAACAGATGCTGTCCCATCGGACGGAGAATGTGCAGTATTTATGTTTGAATGATCAACTCGTATTGATTCATTCTTGTGGGTGGGTATAAAAGAGGCACCAGAGATGCTATCCCATGCCTCAACTACCGGTCCAGCTCGAGGTAAGGAAGGCCCCGGTGTTGATGTGGAGTCTAATAGTTGAGCTGATGCCTCTTCTGCCTCTAAATTCCTGCATGTTGTATCAGAAAGAACCTGTGGGGGAGATTCTTGGTCAAGGGATAAAGCTTCTGTGATCCCCCGAAAAGCCGACTCGATGGGAATCATATAAGCCCATGACTGTGCGACCATTCTGGCAAGAATATAACTATATAGCTTGCCTTTCTTGGATAACCTAGGAGCCGTAGTCACCATTTTCTTCGTAGAACGGATTAGCATTATACAAGTGAGATATAACTATGTAGCTCACCTAATTTTCCATCGACAAAAATAGTCCTGACTTCGAAACAAGACCGGGAAAGTATGAGGGAAGTGGGTTTGGCAACGAGACATCCCCGAAGAACGCCGCTCAAGCTAGAAACAATGATAACAGGACCGCATTTCAGGTCTGGATCTACCATGCGGCCTAAGGCCGTATGTACGATTCACTAGTATCGCGACAGATAATATGTACAATATGGATATCCCAGATTGTCCCAAGCTATCACAAGTTATCTTTGGCTCCTAGCTCAAAGGAAGCAACCTCCGTATTCCGTATAGATACGACAACTGGGAGGCGGATAGATTGTTTCAATGGCAAAATAGGAAAAAGACATGTATATTCCAACAGTTCGGTCTGGATATTGTCATTGCAAGAAAGAGAGATATGGGTAAGGTAAGGCTTATCGTTCCTTCGCGTCTAACGCGTTCGAACGAATTTCGACATCGCACCAAGCCCCCGAGAGACCATTGAAAGGTTGAAATGCAATTAAGGATTTCCTTAAGAAGCTAGCAATAAATGCATATATATGATATGAAATACGCATCTGCAAATAGCAGGCTCTTGTATGTCGAAGATAGTTCCAACGACCTCGGGAGGCCGCGTATGTGCTATACGAAATAGAAGCGAACACGACTATTGTAGAAAAGAACATAGTCTAGAATTTTATTTGAATGACATGTGAAGTTACATCCCGCGTCTGCAAGATCACCCGGGCGTATATTTGAGGAATCTCACGTTATAATTCTCCACTCGAATGGGAATGGATATCAGCGAAGACAGAATCCGTGGTATGGGGTGGCATCATCTTGTCAGATCAAGAGATTCTACTCCGTAATCCTCAGCCTTACCACGTTACGTTACCTTTGCCTTTGCCTCTTCTCGTTAGAGAGGTCTTTTAAGGGGATCCATTGATGTTTTTGGATTTTACAAAGATTCCCGAGGTCGGCAGGGATTAATACTCTAATAGCTTGGCGAATATTGGCGAAAAACGGAGTTTAGCTGCGAACCCCCGTGATCTTCTTAGTCATCATTGTCGCCCAGGCGGAGCCTTACCAAAGCCCTGTATGTAGCCTCACTCGAGTACCTGGGGATTTACATATGCTTCCCGTTGACCAATTTACATATTTCAACGGTTATTACACTTTATCATTTACATGTATATACCTTACTTATAATACCTAATCAAAAGAAAATATCAGACTCAAGATATTGAACACCGCCTAGGTTAATAGGTAGCCTTCACGAACTACCTGCAACATCCAAAATGGATTATTCGTATTACAATCCGACTCCTCAGTTCTTCCCCCCTCTTCCTCCTACTCCAACCCATACAAACGCATCAAATACCGATGAGTTTAGCAATTCTCCACCTGTATTTCTACCATTTCTATTGAGTTGAATGTGCCTGCTAACACCAAACAGCAGGATGTTTTTGATCAATTTCAGCCTTATGAATATGCGAATCAATACAATTCACACATCCCCGAAGCCACAACCCCATCCTCCATGCACAAGCCATCGATTGTTCATCCAATGTACACCGAAATAGCCGCCGATATAAATGACGATGCGATGCGACGAGGTAGCAATAGCGATGACGAGGATTTGACCCCTGCGCAATCCCGGCGCAAGGCCCAGAACCGCGCAGCGTAAGGTCCTTTCTTTAAGCTCACCTATTTTCAAGCTTTATTCGGAAAGTACTAAAAATATAAAAATGCAGTCAACGAGCTTTCCGCGAACGAAAAGAACGCCATGTAAAAGATCTAGAAGCCAAGCTTGCAGCCTCCGAAGAAACTTCCGGAAACCTAGCACAAGAAAACGAGCGACTTAAACTACAACTCACCAAAGCTGCGACGGAAAACGAAATTTTGAAAGCGACATCTGGGCATTCGAATCGTTCAGGTTCGGAGCCTTTGTCGAATGTAGGACCTATGAGATATAAGCCTACGGACTTTTATACTGAGGTTCTGTATGCGCATAAGAACAAGGTACCGAGTCATCGGATTGTAACGAGTGATGATGGGGAAAGGCTACTAGCAGCGGGTGCGACATGGGACTATATCATCAAACATCCGCTGTACAAGCGGGGGCTGGTGGATGTAGGAAAGGTTAGTGAAAGACTGAAGGGAGTTGCGAAGTGCGATGGGCAAGGGCCGGTATTTGAGGAGAGAGCAATACTGGATGCAATTGAGAAGAGCGTCGCAAGTGGAAGTGACGAGTTACTGTGATTTATGGGGTGACATGGAGGAAGATCAAGGGTGTTTAGGATGGCAATTGGATATATGGGATAATACGGATACTACTCAAGACGAACGAAGTACATGAAGGAGTTCTTTGGTGCTTTCTGTTCTGGAGTATCGGATAGTACTGCAATTTACCCACAATTATGGCATCGTGTCTTTATGGTAAAATCAGAGCGTCTTAGTGAACGCAATTTACCATTTAGGAAGCCATCTCACGCTTGGCTTTTTTGGTTATTCGTATTTTGAACTTCGAGAAATGTTTAAGTTGCCTTGTCTGCATATGATTTCATTTCGATTGATTGAGAACAAACTGAACATTTGTCAAGTCTCGTCCGAAGTATGCAAGGCTAAGATGGAAAGTTGCATTAGATTCACTGCATCAAGCATGGACGTTTGATCAGCACTCATCCGAATTATCCAGATATTCCACTCGCTAACTATTCATGGTTTGGCTATTCTATAAGTAGTAGTACGGTATCACACAGTCGCGTCACCCTTAACTGTTTGTTTTAAGCTGCATTTCCTTCTCCAGACAGCCGGATTATTCCGAGTTCCATTCTTGTGTGCAATTCAATCACATCCTCCTCTCTGCTCATACTTTGTATCGCGATCTATCAAATCCTAAATTTAAACGAATCATCGTTATTCCATGCTTATTGTATCCGCAATACCCTCGGTTGTTACACGCGTCACTTCAGTGTATGGAAATAGCATCGTAGATCAGCAATCAGATGAAAGAGCTATGCTGAAGAAGAAAGGATCCTCTTCGAGAGATAAGCAC